GAAGAATTATCATGAGACACTGTAGTACCCTACCTCAGGGACATTGAAGGGCATCTGATTCTCTTTAATCTCTCTTTTTCCTCATTTTTTGGTAAAGACAGCAAAGGGCTGACACGGAGCCATTATGAAGGCTAAAATTGATTTTTTTTATTCCTTGAGCATTTAAACACACTTACATGCAGAGGCCATATTTAGGTAGAGATTTGTTTCTGAATGAGGTTTTTATTTGGAGCGGGGGATGGGAAGTTGTTTCTTTTGAAGCATTCCATGAACCAGAATTCTTCAGAGAGTTTGTAGAGCTTTTATATGATTCTAAAGAGTTAGAGAAACCTGGGGCCACTCAAAGAGAGAAATTGAAGACTCTTCTCAGTCTCAACTCTAGGCTCAGTTGAGAAGCCTTCAGCAAGACTGGCTACATAATTTTGGATGGTGGGGAGGTGTCCAGTGCAAAATAAATGTGTTGGGCCTCATGTTTGAATTATTAACAATCTCAAGATGGCGACAGTAGAGAATTAAACCAAATTCAGGGCGCTTCTGAGAGTGGGATACTGTGTGACTGCACAGGTCACATGCCCATGAAGCTGACTCTACCTTCAGTTTTCCTTCTAGGCTACATAGGAAAATAATCTGGGGATTCAGAGCAGATACTGTGAAGGAGTAAAGGATTTGCATGTGTTTGCAACATGTATTTGTGCCTTTTGGTAAAACAAACATGTTGCTTAATATATATGATATGAGTGAGAAATCCCTTGGTGGAGAAGGTTTCCAGACCACAGAGAAGGGAGGGGAACCCCAGGTGGAGCCTGTTGGGCTCTGAGATGAGGTGATGCCAACTAAAATATTCTTGTGTTATGTATAAGTTCATATGCCCTTCCAATTTGTCATTTTCCCAATATTTCACTCTTACTTTTTCTTAGACATTCCCACTTTTCTAGGCTTATCATGAGCACACATTGATTTAGGGAACAAAAATTTTGCTATATTATCTAGGGGACTTCTAATAACTAAGATTAAAAATAACTTAAAAGTAAAGTGAGTGGAAGCATAAGGTCATGAAAAATAGCACCTACTTTTATGTCTTCTAAAATTTATTTTATCACAGCTTTGTCAACTAATGTTGCTTTAAATAAGCTATTTCAATACAAATATATTTAAAATGCACAGAAAATAAATGAATAGCAATGTCCAAGCATGGGAGATAAATAACTCAAGTTGCAACCTTGGGAGAAACAAATACACTCCACAGTTTTAGTCTGAATCCCAAACCCAAGGATGGTGGATGTTACCACCATCTTGGGGTAACATCCTAATTTTAAGTTTTATTAAAGTTTAGTTTTAACAAATAAAAACCTAAGTATTTTTTTTTTTTTTTTTTGTCTTTTGTCTTTTTCCGTGTCCGGCAACGGATCGCAACCCTCAGTGTTGCCCCCGTACCGGACCGGGGACCGGCAACAGGATCGCAACCCTCAGTGTTGCTCCCGCGCCTCGCTCAGCCAGTGAGCGGGAACCGGTCCGTATGTGGGATCCGAACCCTCGGGCGGGAGCGCCGCCGCGCTTCCCAAGCGGCGCACTATCCAGTGCACCACCAGGCCGGCCCCAAAACCTAAGTATTTTTAATATATGCAACTGTACCATTATATATCAATATACACATTTATGCACATACATGGCAGACGTGTGTATATATTTTCATACATACATATTCACAAACAAAATTTTTTTTTTATAAGTCTGCATTGTATTTGTTTTTTCCCCACTGTTCTAATCCAAATCCAAATCACTGGTTCTTTTCTCTGCACTTTCAATTCTTTTATTTATCTGAATACCATTTAATATTTTGTACTGGCAATATTTGAATTTGCCATCTCTTTTTATACTTTTTGTCAGTTTATCTTCAATTTCATTTTATTGTTTGAATTTAACTTCTTTTATAAAGGTTTTTGGGGGTTTCTTTTGTTTTGTTTTCATAAAGTATACTTGTTCTCTAAGTCTTCTTTCTCTTAGGGTAAATCATCTAAAAAAAAAGCATTTTCTCCATGGATCTACCAGTGTATTGTGAAATTTTTATAGGTTCCTCTTTTTGATGTCTTAAATTCACTTTCTATTATTCTTCCTTTTAGTAATGGTTTTAACTGGTCCTGTGATGACCCAGCCAGAGAGTGTATTGCCCTGGTTCTCTATCAGCTAGATGTGATCATGTTACTAAGTTCAGGATGAGGGGTTGTAAGCAGAACTGATGTGTGTGACTTCCAGTGCTTTACTTCAAATGCAGCTGATGATAGAGCCATTTTTGCTACACTGGATCTTGGGTGAGCTCAAGAGGTGTCTGCTTACCCTTAAATACTCTGAGATTTACATGAGAAAGAAATAAATTCCAGTGGTGTTTCAGAAGCCATATTTTTAAGTCTTTTTATTACTTCAGTTCAATCTAGATCAAGGTTTCTCAACCTTAGCACTATCGACATTTTAGGTTGAATAATTCTTTGTTGTAAGGGGCTTTCTCATGTATTTTAGGGTGTTTCACAGCATCCTTATCTACACTACTTATAATGGGTGCTACTTTTAACCCATAAAATACAGCTTTCACTTAGAAGTCAGGTGGGAGGAAGTAAGTAAAGAGACATGGAAGGCTGGAAGGTGGTGATCATTTTTCTGCTGTGGCATTTGGTAAAACTTTTGCCTGTGGTATCATAGTAGGAGAACATATTTCTGCAGAGACTAAAGTGCCAGGAGAAGTGCTTAGAAATAGGGTATCAGTATATTTTGGTTGTTACATTCTGTTTTTTAGCAAAAGACTACAAAAAAAAAAAAAAAAAAAAAGAGCACAGCCAGGAAAAACTGAACAGTTGCAATCAGAAATAAAGGTGACAGAGCTTTTTAAGGGAGACAATCTAAAATTGGCTGCTAGTCTATCTTGGAGAAGTGATATTTTCTATATGTAGGAAGGATACATTGATACTTGTACATGGGTATTTGGATGGCCAGAGTGACAATCTGTCAGAAATCATTAATTTCGCCCTCGTGTTTATTTCCCCTTTCTTACCAAATCTGAAAATCCAAAGTCCAAAACACTCCAATGGGGATTTCCTTTGAGCATCATGTTGGCACTCAAAAAGTTTCAAATTTTGGAGCATTTCAGTTTTGGTATGCTCAACCTGTACAAAATTTATCTGGGATTGTGGGACATAGGACATTGCAACTGGCAAAGTTACTCTGCATTTCTACTCTTAATTTGTTGACAGTATTGTACCAGCTCTTTGTCTATAGAACTAGCCAAACTATTCTCCAACAAGCATTTTTATTTCCTCTACACTTCTGGAAAGTGAGTTCTCCAAGTTGAAAAAACTAACTGCCTCAGTATTTCACTCATTGCTTTTCTTAAACAACTCCCATTTGGACTTTTCAGCCGAAAATAAGAGGAAGTCACAGGCAAAGATTCCTTTTGCATGAAATTAAATGGACTAGAAAACTTGATTTTTAGGAACATTGAGAAACCATTAGTCTGGCCTTCAAAAGCTTTTAATTGTAGAATACATAAAGATATTCTTGGTTTCTTAAAACTGTACCAGAAAGGAGGAGGTCAGGAAATCTGTTCAGTGACCCATTGAGACCCAAATCTCCAACATCTGCTTCAAAAGATGTCACAGAAGTTAAGGAAGCAAGGAAAATTTCCCAGTTGGTCAAACTAGGGGCCAGAAAAGGGCAATGAATAAGAAATTTCCTCCCAGAGAACAGATCCAGTTTAACCAAGGAAATCCTTCTATTGCCAGGTCAGGGAGTTCTTGAAATTCTGATCCAGCATGATTTATTTCACAATTGTAATGAACCAATGGCTGTTTTAGGTGAGTGTTTTTATTGCAGTTATCCTGTTTTTTCCTACCATTGCATATTGGCTGTGTATGGAGTGGGGGGATTGGGAGATATGAGAAAAATGACTGTGCTTGGTTTGCCAGACGGTTGGGTTCCTCACCCAATCACATAGAAAGGATTGCACATAGTACAGAGATACCCAGTTTTGAGTGGGATGCAGTAACTGGATAAGACATCTGATTGAGCTTCTTGGAGAAGTGATATTTTCTATATGTAGGAAGGATACATTGATACTTGTACATGGGTATTTGGATGGCCAGAGTGACAATCTGTCAGAAATCATTAATTTCGCCCTCGTGTTTATTTCCCCTTTCTTACCAAATCTGAAAATCCAAAGTCCAAAACACTCCAATGGGGATTTCCTTTGAGCATCATGTTGGCACTCAAAAAGTTTCAAATTTTGGAGCATTTCAGTTTTGGTATGCTCAACCTGTACAAAATTTATCTGGGATTGTGGGACATAGGACATTGCAACTGGCAAAGTTACTCTGCATTTCTACTCTTAATTTGTTGACAGTATTGTACCAGCTCTTTGTCTATAGAACTAGCCAAACTATTCTCCAACAAGCATTTTTATTTCCTCTACACTTCTTATTGTATGATTCTGTTTTCTAATATAGAAGATTCTATATCTCTGTTTTCCCCATTACTAAACTAGTTACATGCATATGTTCTATTTATCTCAAAAACCTAGTTTTTGGATATATCAGTTATATTATCTATATATTAAATAATATCTGCTTTAAAAATAAAACAATTTCTTTTGTACCTACAACCTGGATTAATTTGGAGCTCACTCTCTAATAGACATCTATGTGTACTTTTGTGCATCCACATACACACAGACATAATTCCTTTCTTGGGTTTAATTTCTTTCATTTTTTTAACTTCTTGGGTGAAATAAGTATTTCTTCTTTCTCCTTTTTCTTAGTAATAAATTTCCTCTCAGCAGAACTTTAATGGTACCCATGAGTTCTTATATGTAATTATCCTAAGTGTATTTGGGCACTTTTATTGTTTAATAGTTTGTCAACTTCTACTCGACCCTTGCCCAATAACTAGGGTTTTGTCTTTTTTTTTCCAGGTTTATAGTGAAACAATAACAAAGCTGGACTAAAATAAAAAGAGACTCAGCTTATCCGACTCACTTTTTTTACTAGACAACTTAAGAATATATACTCCTATGAAGCACAACGGTGAAGTTCAAATGAGATCCTGAAGAGAGTAGGCAAATGCATGACAGAAGTAAAATGAATTGAATTGCTGTGCTGATGTTAAGAGTTCCTGATGTCCCGCCGCTTGGTCATTACCTGGGGCTTCATATAGGGGTAGATTTTAACACGAGTCAAGTCAAAATGTAAAAGCGCTGACTTAAAGGCTGCGGACAGGAAACAGGAGGAAGGAGTACTCTGTCAACTACGAGTTGCTGAGGGCATCTACTCCAGGAAGAATTTTACCTTCCAGAAGTTCTAGACTGGCACCACCTCCAGTGCTCACATGGCTGACTTTATCTTCTGTGTTCCATTTGGCACAGCATGTAGCTGTGTCTCCACCCCCTATAATGGTGATGCAGCCCTTGGAAGTAGCTTTCACGATTTCATCCATGAGGGCTTTGGTTCCCTTAGCAAAGGCATCCCATTCAAATACTCCTAAAGGTCCATTCCAAACAATTAGCTTTGCTTGAGCCACAATTTGAGCATATTTCTTGTTGCTCTCAGGACCACAGTCCAAAGCCATCCATCCAGCAGGTATGCCAGATGCTACAGTGGCTTGTCCAACCTTAGCATTCTCATCAAACTTGTCAGCAGTAACAAAATCAACAGGAAAGGTAATCTTTACACCATTCTTATCTGCTTTGTCCATGATATCTCTGACAATTTTGGCTCCCTCTTCATCAAACAGGGAAGCACCAATCTCCATGTTGTTGAGTACCTTAAGGAAGCTGAAAGCCATTCCACCACCAATAATCATCTCATTGACCTTGTCCAGCATATTTTTGATGAGTTGAATCTTGTCTGCCACTTTAGCTCCACCAAGTATAGCCAGAAAGGGTCTTTCTGGCTTTTCCAAGGCTCTGGCAAAGTAATCCAGCTCCTTCTTCATCAGGAATCCAGATGCCTTCAGGGGCAGATTCACTCCCACCATAGAACTGTGAGCCCGGTGTGCTGTGCCAAAAGCGTCATTGACATAGACATCCCCTAGCTTGGAGAGTGAAGCCCGGAAGGCTTCTATTTTTTCTGGCTCAGCTTTAAGTTTATTTCCAGAAGGATCTTGGCCCTTCCCTTCCTCCTCCACATGAAAGCGCAGGTTCTCCAGCAGGATGACTGAACCAATAGCTGGGTTGGCACAGGCTTTCTCCACTTCTGAGCCTACACAGTCCTTCAGGAACAGAACATCTTTGCCCAGCAAGGATTTGAGCTCAGACGCAACAGGCTCTAATGAATATTTGTCAGGCATGGGAACACCATCAGGCCGGCCTAGGTGGCTCATGAGAACTACTGACCTGGCTCCGTTATCTAGACAGTACTTGATGCTTGGGAGGGAAGCCTTGATTCTCTGGTTGTTTGTAATCTGGTTCTTCTTCATGGGAACATTAAAGTCTACTCTCATGAGGACTCGCTTCCCGATAACATTCAGTTTGTCTAAAGTCAATTTCTTAGAAAGGGACATCCTGACAATATAAAGTCATAAGCTGACACCTGGATCCCAATGCTGAAGAACCACTCCACTGCCGGTGGCAGGCTGGGATCTCCGGTGATTTCTAACCGCCCTTTCCCTTGCCCCACCCCTGCATTCTCTGCATTGTTTTCCACCTGGCAAAGAAGGAAATCCTAGCTCTGCTATTGGTCAATGGTCCTGTCAATCTGGATCTGGAATATGCTGCCCCGTGCAGATTTAACTGCTAGGGCAGAATGCAAAGCGATGGAGTGATTGTACCTGGCTTGGAAAGAGAGTTGGGAAGGGAAAGAAACCCCAGAATCAGAACAGTCCTGGGGTATGAACCTCCTGCTGGTTCTTTTTTCCCACATCCTCTTCGACAACTGCTCTTATTCTTAGAAAACAAAACAACAAACAACCCCCCCACCAGAAAACCCACGTCAAATTTTAATTATATTAATGTATAAAAAACTCTGCAGTGCCAAATAAAGGGAAATTTTGAAATAACGGGTCTATGAAGACTTATTTATTCAAGGCAGCATAGTATGGTTCTGTTTTTCTCTTGTCTTCATAAATATTTCTGTTAAAGGAACAGCTTAGTGTTAGCTTTTGGCTTTAAATATATTCTAGAGTAGGGTAAGAATGATGCCATATTTTTATTACCTTGCTTTTTCCACTCTCTGGCAACCATGAAAGAATGCTTGGTGGCTTCTGCAGGAGAATCCCGTAAGATCATAGCAAAGAGAGTATCAGTAAAAAGCAGTGAAAGTGATACTAACATTTCTTTTAAGCTGTGAAATTACGACGAAGCTCCTTACCTTTTTCTCTCCTCTCTCTTTGTTTTGCTACCTGTATAACTTAGAAATTGAGCTGAAAATAATGGTTTTTGTATAGTTCCATTCATATAACATTTGAAAAAAAAGTAAAATTATAGGGATGGAAAATATATCAGTGGTTGCTAAGTGTTAGGGAAGAGGGAGTGGTCGACTATAATTAGGGATGCATAGGGGGATTTTTAGTGTGATAGGAATTTTCTATATGGCACTGGAGTGGTGGATACAAGATTTTACACACTTGTCAAAAGCCATAAAATTCCACATTATAGAGAGTCAACTTTAATGAATGCAAATTTAAAAAATGAACCAAGATGTTGGGGAATCTCAGAATTAAATTCAGACTCTGACAGGTGAGCCTAACTGTATTGCAATATATAACAAGTCTCACTGCAGGTGTTGTGGGAAAAAAGGAGATAACTTAAGTAACTTCAGAAAAGAGGTTTCCCGTTTGCAAGGCTAAAGACAAAAAGAAATGTACAGAAATATAATACTCTAGTTGATAAGTTTGTTTATCACAGGCATATAGGATAACAATTCTGAAACTACAAGTATATTAGAGATGAACAATAAGTAATGTTAGATGATGAAAGTTAGGTTTCTCTCTGTCAGAAAAAAAGTTATAAATAAGTAAGGAGAGAGACTAGAGTGAACTTTGTGGTACTGGATTTAGACATATCAGCATGAACTCATATATATATGAGTTCATATATACGTACATTTCAGAAATGATTATAGATTTGTGTATACACATATGTGTGAATTATACATATATGATTATACATATTACTCATCATATATGAGTTCATATGTATACATGTATACATAACAGAAATGATTATAGTTTTGTATATATACATACATTTTAGTTTTCTATTGCTACTGTAGCAAATGATCACAAACTTAGCTACTTGAAATAAAACAATTTTGCTTTCAAACAGTTCTGTAGGTCAGAAGCCCAGGCTGACTTGGCTGGTTTCTCTGCTCTGGGTTTTACAAGACTGAACTCAATATGTTGGTGGCTGGGTTCTCATCAGGAGGCTCTAGAAAGAATTTATTTCTAAGCTCATTTAGGCTTTTGGTAGAATCTTGGCAGTTATGTAACTGAGACTGTTAACAATCCCCAACAGGGCTTCTCAGGTTCTTGCACATGGGGACCTATATCTGAGAACCAGCTTCGGTGCATTGAATCCTTCTAACTCTTGAAATCTCTCTGACTTTTACTTCTGCTGCATCCATCTTCTGCTTTTAGCCAGAGAAAATTCTCTACTGTTAGGGACTCATTTGATTAAGTTGGGCCCAACTGTGTAATACAGAATAAACTCCTTATCTCAAATTTTGTAACTTACTTATATCTGTAAAGTACTTTTTGCCATGTAACTTAATATATTCACAAGTTCTGGAAAAGAGGACATAGACACCTTTAGTAGGCCATTATTCTGCCTACCAAAACATGATTTGTATACATGCAAATATTTTCCAGCTCTGTCTCTAAGAGACATAGAAGCAGTCACATCCCAGTTGCAAAAAAATACATCCTGTGACCAGACCTTTGTTTCTAGATAAAATTATCCAATAAAAGGAACCAGGGCCCTTGGATAAATGGCTGATTCTAAGATTACAGAAAAGGAAATACAAGATGACATCCCAGTTGCAAAAAAATACATCCTGTGACCAGACCTTTGTTTCTAGATAAAATTATCCAATAAACGGAACCAGGGCCCTTGGATAAATGGCTGATTCTAAGATTACAGAAAAGGAAATACAAGATGAGTCTAGGGCCTTTTGTAGTGTTGTAAAGTAGTAAAATTGTCACAACTTGAGAAAAAAAATAGTATTAGATTACTACCAAAGGTATGAAATAAATACATGAGTCCATGCATATATAAATAAATGGTTAAATAAACACATAAGTGGGGGAGAAGGGACAAAGCTTTGTTATAGAAGAATTCCAAATAATATGTGTAGATACATATTGTTGTCTCCCT